AAAAACTTTTATTTGTGACAAAAACTTTGAATTGTAAATTGCGTGCTGATCGGCACGCAATTTCGTTTAAGGGATAAGGAAAAAGGTAAGATAAATTTGTGCTTTGACGTATTACCAAATAAGAGATAACAATTCGGCACTACGTACCTCATTATCGGATGCTTTGGTGTGTTACCAGATATGATAACAATTCGGCACTACGTGCCTCATCCTTGATCGGTATTCGAATACATCACACAAAGCCAGGATACGAATACTATTTCGGCACTACGTGCCTCATCCTCGATTGATATTCGAATGCATTATAACAGTTAACAATTCGGCACTACGTGCCTCATCCTTAATCGATATTTGAATGCATCATACAAAGCCAGGATACGAATACTATTTCGGCACTACGTGCCTCAAACCTGGCCCGCATCGAGGAATTAACCAGAAAGCTAAGGGCACTACGTGCCCAGTTCGGGCATAGCCCTCACATCGGGCTTGCAAATGATGACGAGGCAAATGCAAAACACACGTCACTCAGGCGTGACATAAAAAAAATGAAACACATACCATATTGGTGCACATCTCAGCAGTCCTTAAGTGACGATATGAATGCAACCTATATACCACTCAATTTGTGGACTACAATCACCCCATCTATGACGAGGCAAACGTAAAACGCACGTCACCCGAATGACGAGGCAAACGCAAAACGTATGCCACACTAGCACACGTCTCAGTGGCTCTTAAATGGCGATACAAATGTATCAAATCATTAAAAGGAAGCAAATAACAAGCTTATTAGAGGTCAAAATGAGTAGCTATAAAATAAGTAGGTAACAGTCTAATTATAAGTAGGTAACAGTCTAATTATAAGTAGGTAACAGTCTAACGTAAGTAGGTAACAATATATATATATTGTTACCTACTAAAATGATGAGTTGCCAAAGTGTAACAAGTGTGGTAGATTAAGGATTCAATCTGACATTGAATATCCTACCAGTGAAGTTGTTTGTCGTTGTGTTAAGAGAAAGGAAAATACAGAAGTGAAAAAACTCCCTCTTTTACCTCATCAAAATGGGGGAATGGCACTTTTTTATGAAACACAAATAAATGGTTTGAGGGAAGAAAAAAATCAACTAACTGAGGAAGTAGAAACTCATTTAGAGGCTTTGGAAGTGGCTGAAGATTGGCATAAAAGACAAAAACAAGAGTTATTGGATAGAATTAAGCACTTAGAAGAGGAAAATAAGCAACTAAAAGAGTTAACTCCCCAAGAATTAATAAAAGAAATCAATGATTTAAAATTTCAATTAACCCAATTACAACAGCAAAATGGTCAATTAGTTGCTCAAATTGAAGTTAAACAAACTAAAAAATGACCTTGATTGAAAATAAAAGGTAATTAAAAATTAACAAAGTTGAAAAAAAAGTAATAATTTGTTTAGTTATTCTACCAGTTTTCTTTTTTTTCTTGATTCTTTACTAGAATTCTCTAATACTCTTTTGAAAACTCTTTCTTCTTGGTAAATTTCATAAGTAATCCTTTCTTTGTTTAGATAAGTTTCTAGTGTCTGAGTATCATTTACTTTGAAAATGTAAGGAGCAATTTTCACTTAGAGATGTTAATCAATTAATTTTTCATAATTGATTTTTGATTTGTAATCAATTTTTACATTGCAAATAGTAGTAGCTTTATTTGTTTTATGCTTATGAGTTAACAACTTTTACATATTACAGTATTAATAAAATGAAAGAATCTAGGTCACATGTCCAAAACACAATTGGATGTCACTTCAGTAAATTCCGTTTTATTTACAACATAAATTTTAAAATTTTATCTTTTATTATTCTTTGATGGGTAAAAAATTATCAACAAATTTTTTGATCTGTTTCAAAAAAAGAATATGGTCAACAGACTGTGAGCTAAGTCTATTTCATAACAAAGTAATTTGTTGTCCTGCATCAGAGAAAAGTTCTTCTGAAGGAACTGATGAAGAAGGAATGCCAAATATTTAATGGTTCATTTTCTTTAATAGGAAGCACTTGGGGTATGTTTTTATATGATTCAAATTCATCTCTGTCTAATTTGGCTATTTCTCTAGTTGAGACTTCTAAATTAAAATTGTTTCAAATATTAATATACTACTATTATTATTATTATTATTATTATTATTTATTACTAATACTATTGTTGTTGTTTTTATTAGCACTGCTATTATTATGCTTATAATGTTTAGAATGAAAAATGTATATTAATTTGTATATTATGTATGAATTTGTTTGTTAGGTTATGGCACTTAATTTTTAAAACCAGACTTCTAAAATTAAAATTGCTTCAAATATTACTATACTATTATTATTATTACTATTGCAATTATTATTGTTATTATCATTACTACTGTTAATTTATTTAACACTTAATTTTTTTTCAATTTTTTTGATTAAATTGATAATTGATTTACAATTGATTATAAAATTTTGTTGATCACTTTAATTGATTGTGGAAAAATCAATTTTTGTATAATCAATTAACATCCCTAAATTTCACAACAAGATAAAATTGATTCTGTTTATTTAAAACCATAGAAAATTTTCTTTGTTACTGGAAATTTTACATGAATGTTCAAAAATATTTATTTCTAAGTTTAGGTTTTTGTCTAAACTTTATTATAATTAGCTTTCATATGAATCTAAGGGAAAAAATCAAGTTTTGACTCTCAACAACAATGTGATGGTAATAATTCTAACACTGATAGTATTAGTACTACAGTGGGTGACAATAAAAACCATCAAGTGATGGCAAATTTTAAGTTTTTAAAATTTATCACATGCACAAATTTTAGCCAATAAATTTCAAGAAAATCATTGTGATACAAGCGGACTGTGTTTTAGCCAATAGAATTTAAGGCAATTATTGTGATACAAATAAGTTATGTGGGAAAATATTACGTGAAATTATTTTCGACCAATGAAATAAAAGAGAAATTAATTAATTTTATTTTACAATACTATAACAGATGGCA